ATTCCATTCGTCCTCGAATATTAATGATATTATTACTCCCTCATGCAATTTCATTTTATGTTATTTGTTTGGTCCAAAATTAAATATCATCTTGGTTAATAATATAGTTAAATCTTTGAAACCATCTTCTATAATCCGAAGCCTCCTTTATTTATATATACATACATATTCATATAATTAAATAGAGGAAAATTGTCATTGACTTAGAAATCCAAGTCAACGTTCGACCTCGACCGAGACTAATTTTCAACATCCACTCCACTAATGATATTTTACATTATAGTTTGTCAATATATTTAAATGATTAAAAAAATGAAATAATTTGTACGGATCTTAGTATACTTAGTATTTTAATCATGGGGAACATTTATTTTGTAACGTTTTCTTAAGAAGTCAAATAAATTAACTCGTCATGCACTCTCTTTTTCTTGTCAAATGTGAAAACTCTTCACCTTGTTTGATTCTTTTAAGAAAATATTAATTTTTTTTTTGCAGAAGATGGGCCCAGTTTTTAATCCAATACATTTTGATGTTACTTTCGTTATAATCTATGATTTAGAATATAATTTAAACAATGGTTATAAATAAGGATATGATTATGAAGGCACTAGAACCCGATTGGATGGGTCCATTATTTAACAACCAATAACAATAATTTAAATTAACTAATTTATATAAAATATCAGATATTTACCCCCACTAAACAAAAATATATCCTATTGTTTAAAGATATTTTATGTAAAATATTCCATCTCGTTATTTTCAATGGATAAAGTTTTCTAGGTTCGGACATAAAATTTTCAGTTGTTCCTACAATTTCGCTACCAATCACATTATTCGGTTTTTATCTTTTAATCAACCGGTTAAAATAGTCGTCACAAATAGAGGTGAGTAGTCCGGTATTCGGTTCGAGATCGATTTAGGAATGATTCGGTTCGGTTCTTTCGGTATTTTTGTATCAATCGATTATTGTATTATATTTGGTTCGGTTCATTTTCGATTCCGGCTTTTATTGAGAAAATTTTAGATTTTTTAAAAAATTTTGTCTTTTTGGTTTCAAAAATTCGGTTTTGTAAAAAAATTACCATTCGAAAATTTTGGACATTTCGGTTATAAAATAATATCAGATTTTTCGGTTCGATACGAATTCGGTTTTGAAGAACCGAAACGCACACCCCCTGATCAAAATAGAAACGGTGTAAGCTGAGGGCATACAGAAATTAAACATCTCAAATTGCCCAAGATTTCCATGGCATGGATCTCTTCGGTCCATTACTAGATTCATTTCATGAATTTAATTGTTATAAAAAAAATAAATAAATCAAATTATCCCCACACTTTTGTTATATCAAAATCCCTTTCTTGAAAAAGATAACTCAACATTGATCAGAACAGAACATCATCATCATCATCATCATCATCATCATCATCATCATCATCATCATCATCATCATCATCATCATCATCATCATCATCATCATCATCATCATCATCATAATCTGCAAATAGAACCTACCCCTATTTCCTTTCTGTTTTTGATTAAATGAACATAAGCTTTTGCATAAACGGAAACACAGCAACAAAGAAGCCGGAATTCAAACAAAAATATAAAACTCTAAAAGCATAAGTTTCTTTCTTGTGTATATATCTAACCAGTTCTTGTCACTCTACAACATACAAGATAGAACCCTGTAATGAAAACCCTAGCTCTTGGTCCTTGGAGTGGTGGAAACGCCATTGTTGCACAGCCCGGAAGCTTCGTGTCTGCAAATGCTGAAGAATCCGACATCGAATCTTGAAGAATATTTTATCCGTCTGATACAACAACAAACATGCCGGGATTTTGAAATGATGACCTTCAAAAAACAACGAAGAACGAGAACTCGAGTCTAGAGACGGAAAAACAAAGAAACTAACGTACCGATGTTCCTTGAAAAAAACATACTAGGACATGGGTCTGAATACAAGTCAGAAGAAAGATAGAACAGACCTTGAATCAACTCAAGAACATGGAATCGAGATGGAAAAAGCACAATGCATCGATTAAAAGAGTTGCTATTTGATACGATTCCTTGATCGAAAATTCTCTAATCAGGCGGTGGAACCAACCAAATTCTGGAATTCCTCCATAACATTCAATTGTGCGTAAAACCGAGAATTCTCGGAAATGTAAACTCTGATCTTCTTTGATTGCTCCGAGTTTTTTGCTACATCCCGCGAAGAGGAGCTTTGGCGCACCGTTTAAGGTGTTGCCGTTGTGATCTAGAGGTTAGAGGTTCGAATCCTGGACGTAGTCTCTTGCAGAATATTCTGCAAGGTAAGGTTTGCCTACAATACACGCTTGTGGTGGGACCCTTCCCCAAACCTCCGCCCAACGGGATGCTTTGTGCATCAGGTTGCGCCCCTCGAAGATCATATCACTGTTTCTCCTATTTGCGGTTCTTAGACCTACTACTTGTAGAGAGAAATACCGGGAATTACATGGAGAATTTTAGTTCGTATAGAGTTTAGATATTATTTCGTTTATTATTTTGTTTGATTTTTCTATTTGTTGTATGACATAATGAAAAGAAACTATATTGTCCATCTAAACTCATTCAATTATCAATAATAACATAACATACTATACGACAAACTATGACAAGATAACATGATTTCCTTTCACTAGAATTCCTAATTCGTATACTAATATCATACCGAATACATAAACCGAAACAAAAACATAGTAATTACATACATAATTATCATTTTCGTTAAAAATTTTCGCTGACGTATAATATAGTTACAATAATTACCTAACTAATGCATTAGTTACCAGAATCCGAATTTTTTTTAATGAAAATGACGATTATATATGTAAGTATTGTTAATTTTAACAATTCGTATAGATATTTGAGAAAATTTGAATTCAAGTGTAGTTTTTAGTCAAATTAAAAATACTTATATAAAAAAATCACATTTGGCTAAATTGGTGTAGAAAAATGTCATTTTCCCTAGACATAATGATATCTAAACTCTATACAATCTAAAACTCTTTGTAATTTCCAATAAGTGACCCAAGGAAACAGATTATGCATTGTTCATAGGAACAAGAACATGCGACTAACTGAACCAACTCAACCACATAATCAGCTCCGAACTTAGATAATCCAGACAGCATTGGACTGATCAAATGGGCTCTTAGCATATGTGATTTGCAGCTGTGAGTGCAGACAGTCATGGTGGATTCTTTCATGCCGAAGAGAGAAGAAAATGAGTACATATGATCGAGAGACGAGTTCACTCACATCAAAGAATGCCGGAAAATTTCTCATCTTGAGATCGGTTTCTGAAGCAGCGCCGTCAAAAACACTTCGCCGTTCTTCAATCCGCTACTGTCCGTTTTGTTCGCCACCGCCCATTTCACCTTCTTGTATCCCAATTTCCCCATCAACGGCGCATAAACCTTGCCAAGATCGATCCTTTTGCTGAAGAACCGATCCAACCAGAGAAACCCGCCGCCGCGAAGAACGCGGTCCACGTCGAGGAAGAAGAACTCCATCACCGTCACCGGGATCCACCTGTTCACGGCTCGTCCACACCGGACCAAATCCACCACGCCGTCGAACAGTGGCA